AGGGGACCAAATATTTATTTCACTCATTAAAATGCAAATCAATTTATATCTTTTTTGAAATATGTTTTGTCTGGATTTTTTTTTGTTAGTCTGTCTCTCACTGTTAAAATAAACCTACAATTAAAATTATAGACTGATCATTTCTTTGTCAGTGGGCAAACATACAAAATCAGCAGGGGATCAAATAATTTTTTCCTCACTGTAGTTTTCTTGGCCATAATAGTAGTTTGGCATTGCCTTCTTCTGGAAAGTCTTTGTAACTTTTCAGTGACCCACAGGTCAGCTTTACTAGTCTTTTAAAATCAGCCAAAGTTGACAATAATAGTGAGGAAAAGTTTGTGAATTGTTTAAACTATAAATATAAACTGCAGTGCTGTGTGTGATCCTAGCTTCACCTAAATCCTGTCAACTGGTAGATTCTGGTTAAACAACATATGAAAAAGTATCCTGCATCATATCTTAGTTAACATCTGTGTTTATTTTCACTGAGCTAGCAGTTATTGTTTAGTGGAAAACATTTTTTTATATTTAGTAACTGGTGGCACCTCCTTTAAGCTGAATGTTTCAACAAAATGTTTCCTGTACCTGTTGCTGAATCCCATACAACAACTTGGAGTATTTTGTGTCAATAAGGATATTGTTGGTTATGGTGTTGTTGCTTACTGATAGTTCCGAAGGGCTCACAAACCTCATTACTTAGTTGGGTATACAGTATAGTAGAAATCATTTTTAGAAGTGTATTTGTTAATGCTTCAGAAGTTAATTTCAGTACATAGAGAAAGAAGAAGATTCCAGTATGATTCAGATGCCACAAGTCATGTACAATGGAAATTAGCTCCCACATGCTCACTTTTCCTCCAGTATGCCTATGAGGAAGAAATTGTCCGTTTTTGATTGAGCAAGCTTCTTACTTCATTTGAGCAAACAGGAATTCATTTTAAACTTCAAAGCATGGGTTATGAAGAGGGCTTCTTTCAATAAATTACAGATAAAATTATCTGTTTCTACCACCACATGGAATAGTAAATTATGTGGATACTATGTTTAGTTGAATGCTTGTGACTTAACTTGCTTATCAGTAAAATAATTATTGGATAGTCTTACAGTGGGAATGAGGTAACTTCAGCTTGTATCTAAATACAAACACAGCCTGAGGACGTCCAAGGAGGAACGCTTTCTCATTTGAATTTCTTGGGATCATAGAAGATAGAATATTTTGTTTTAACCTTAACATATTTCTTTTTGAGTGGCTGGCTCTGCCAACTCATTTTAGACTAGGTGTTTATATTACTCATTGTTACTGTTTTATGTATCAAAATGTGTATACATGGTGCACTGTTGATACAAGCAACAGTGTAGGCCGTGTCCTTGAATACCTATTGTTTCGCCCCTGCAGTCCTAATTTCAGTGGAGGCAGTGGGTTGAAAATTGAACTGCATAGTCTTTGCCCTGTAGATGCAATCCTGTAATAATAGCACTACCCATATCTTTAATGTTTTTGGCATGTTCTATAACACCTCTACGGGCACCATCCCCCAATTTGATTATGGTTTATTCAGAAAGCTACTTTTCTTTAAACAGGTTTAGCCACTCCGGTAGACTTGAAACTGAAGCTGATCCCCATTCTGCAGCATATGCACCATGATGCCAGCCTGGCTTCCAGTGCACGTCAGCTGCTCCAACAACTGGTGACATCTTATCCATCTACTAAGATGGTCATTGTGACTTTGCATACATTTACCTTGCTTGCTGCCTCCTCTCTGGTTGATATCCCCAAGCAGGTAATCCCATTATTATTTACTGATTTGCTTTTTCTTTTGAAAACATATAGCGTTTAGATGCACAAAAAAAAGTAAAATTCATTTATCCTGGGTAAGTTGAAGAAATCTTATCTATCCTTCCTGACATATACTTTTATGGGCGGTGTACAGAGGTACATCCGTACTCGACTGCTTTTAAAACGTGTCCCATTTGGTACTCAATGCACTTTGATGTGAAAATTTTGCCCTGGTATTTGTCATTCTTTTGGTACTTGACACGCAAACTAGAACTTGTC